AGCAGTGGAACTCTCTGCCCCAGAGTGTGATGGAGAATGTGGTGTGGTGAGAGTTGTTCAGCAGTGGAACTCTGCCCCAGAGTGTGCTGGAGAGTGTGGTGTCGTGAGAGCCATTCAGCAGTGGAACTCTCTGCCCCTGAGTGTGGTGGAGGCTCCTTCTTTGGAGGCTTTTAAGCAGAGGCTGGATGGCCATCTGTCAGGGCTTCTTTAAATGTGATTTTCCTGCTTCTTGGTGGAATGGGGTTGGACTGGATGGCCCATGAGGTCTCTTCCAACTCTTTGATTCTATGATTCTCTCTGAAGGTTCACCAGGCATCCTCAAACTGAGGCTCTCCAGATGTTTGGGCCTTCAACTCTCAGAATTCCTGATAACTGAACAAGCATGTTAGAGCTTCTGGGAGTTGGAGGCCCAAACAGCTGGAGGGCCGCAGTTTGAGGATGCAGGTTTGGTCCCCAATCCATCAAGCCATGCAGGATCCTTTGTGGTACAAATGGATCATCCAAGCAGAAACCTCTGCCAGGCCGGGTCCAGCAGTAGAGGCTGGGAGGCGGCAATGGGAGCAGACTTAGGGCCCTGTGGTTATGGTTATTATTATTATTGTTACTATTATTATGGTGTAAATATGTCTGATTAGATTTATGATGTTTTATTTAATTAATTTTTTTTAGTTATAAGTTTTCCTAAAGTGGCTTTATGCATTGTCTCAATTTTATGTATCTATTTATTTATTTGCGACATTTATATGCAGCCTTTCTCACCCCGAAGGGGACTCGGAGCGGCTTACAAGATACTGTATATACTCGAATATAAGCCTAGTTTTTCAGTCCTTTTTTTAGGCTGAAAAAGTCCCTCTTGGCTTATACTTGAGTTAAGATTATTTATTATTGAACTCTGTTGTTGTTGGGTTGTTGTAGGTTTTTTCAGGCTGTATGGCAATGGTCTAGAGGCATTCCCTCCTGACGTTTCGCCTGCATCTATGGCAAGCATCCTCAGAGGTAGAACTACCTCTGAAGATGCTTGCCATAGATGCAGGCGAAACGTCAGGAGAAAAAGCCTCTAGACCATGGCTATACAGCCCGAAAAACCTACAACAATCTGTTGCTGTTGTTGTTGTTGTTGTTCTGACACAAAAACACAGTATGTCACAACAAACAAGATATATATGCTGGATTTCATAGCATAAAATCACAAGTCGAGCACTTCCCAAGCATCTAGGACTGTTGTTGTTGTTGTTGTTGTTTCCCAGAGAGAGGAGGGAGATCTGGGCCCCCTGAAGCCAGCCAAGAGGTCTCTGCTCTCACTGGTTCTTCTTCAGAGGAGTGGACGGCCTTCTCAGCCTCAGTTGCAGGTCCCTCTGCCTCACTTGCAAGGGTCAAAAAGAGGCATCTGCATTGGCAAAACATTGAGTGGGAGTTGTGGTGCCTGATGGGGGGAAATGCTTCAATGACACAGTTCACCCCAGATTTCATAGAATCATAGAATCAAAGAGTTGGAAGAGACCTCATGGGCCATCCAGTCCAACCCCCTGCCAAGAATCAGGAATGTTGCATTCAAATCACCCCTGACAGATGGCCATCCAGCCTCTGTTTAAAAGCTTCCAAAGAAGGAGCCTCCACCACGCTCCGGGGTAGAGAGTGATTTGGTTTGAAAATGCAGAGGGATCTGGAGGGATTCGGACAGGATTAGGAGGCATTTGTAAAGGTTCTAGGGACCAAACAATGGAGAGGACTGTGGTTAACCGTGTAATGCTCTGACAAGGAGGGGATCCTCCCCTAAATCTTTTCTCTCCAGATCAAGAAGTCAGTTACCAATTCAACATTCACAGCTAAATTTATTAACATGGTCTTATTTATCTTGTTTTATTTGTAGGCTTTATCAGTTTTGCCAGTCCTTCCCATTCGAATGTCGTCTGAGAGAAGAGGTGACCATATCTTCATACAGTTTGAAGGCAGCTTAGAAGCACAGAGGGAAAATGGAGGAATCAGCTTTCTCCCAGTTAGGAACATTATCTTCTGCTGTTGAGACAGAGAAAAGAAGAGAAATCTGGGAGGACACTGGGAAGAAAGATCTGGAAAGCAATTCAGATATTCAAAGACATTTTTTCCGGCGTTTCTGCTATGAGGACACCGATGGGCCCCGGGAGGTTTGCAGCCAGCTCCACACACTCTGCTCTCAGTGGCTGAAGCCTGAGGAACATACAAAGGCTGAGATGCTGGACCTGGTGATCCTGGAGCAGTTCCTGGCCGTCCTTCCTCCAGAGATGAAGCGCTGGGTCCAGGAATGTGGGGCAGAGACCAGTTCCCAGGCGGTGGCTTTGGCTGAAGGATTCCTCCTGAGTCGGGCAGAGGAGAGGAAGCAGGAGGAGCCTCAGGTGAGAGAATATCATTTTGGTATTATTATTATTATGTTTATTTATACCAGTCGTTCTCAACCTTCCGAATGCCGCGACTCCATAATACAGTTCCTCATGTGTGGTGACCCCTAACCATAAAATTATTTTTGTTGCTACTTCATAACTGTAATTTTTCTACTGTTATGAATCGTAATGTAAATATCTGATATGCAGGATGTATTTTCATTCACTGGACCAAATTTGGCACAAATAACGATATGCCCAAATTTGAATACTGGTGGGGTTGGGGGATTGATTTTGTCATTTGGGAGTTGGAGTTGCTGGGATTTATAGTTACAAAATCAAAGAGCATTCTGAACTCCCAACGATTGAATCCAAACTTGGCACACAGAACTCCCACTCAACATAAAATACTGGAAGGGTTTGGTGGGCAACTGACAAAGTGAAAGAAAGAAAGAGAGAAGGAAGGAAGGAAGGAAGGAAGGAAGGAGGGAGGGAGGGGGGAGGAGGGAGGAGAAGGGAGAGGGAGGGAGGGAGGGAGGGAGAAGGAAGGAAGGAAGGAAGGAAGGAAGGAAGGAAGGAAGGAAGGAGACAACAATACTCTAACTCAACCATTGTTGAGTTCTGGAGTTGTAGTTCGCCTACAGCCAGAGAGCACTGTGGAGTCAAACAGTGATGGATCTGGACCAAACTTGGCCTGAATACTAAATGTGAACCTGGTGGAGTTTAGGGAAAATAGACCTTGACATTTGGGAGTTGTAGTAACTGGGATTTATAGTTCACGTACAATCAAACAGCATTCTGAACCCCACCAATGATAGAATTGGGGCAAATTTCCCACACAGAATCCCCATGATCAACAGAAAATACTGTGTTTTCTGATGGTTTTTGGTGACTCTTATGGCACCCCCTCATGACCCCCAGGTTGAGAAACACTGATATATATGTTTGAGGTGTGGGAAGAGGGTCTGTCTTAAGAATGGTGTCATTCTGCATCTGGTAACTCACATATGAGTAACTGGGATTTATAGTTCTCCTAGAATCAAAGAGCATTCTGAGCCCTACCAACAATAGAATTGGGCCAAACTTCCCCCACAGAATTCACATGACCAATAGAAAATACTGTATTATCTGATGATCTTTGGTGACCCCTCTGACACCCCCTCACAACCCTTCCAGGGGTCCCGGCCTCCAGGTTGAGAAACACTGATTTATACTCTACTTTTTCTTTCCACAAGGAGACTCAAAACAGCTTACATTAAAATAATTTCAAGACAATTTAAGATCTACAAATATACAAACATTAATTAATTAATTAATTAATTTTATTTACTGCATTTGTATACTCCCTTTCTCAGCCAGAGACGACTCAAGGTGGTTCACAATTGGCAGCGATTTGATTCCATAACAAGTATCAGGATAGAGTTTAAAACAATTATAAAAACAATTATAAAAACAATTCAACATTATAAATGTAATATAAAATGAACAATAATATCAATAAAAACATTAAGGCAGAATCAAATGTAAATTGTATGTTTTAAAAAATCACAGTTAAAATCCATAATAACATATTCAAAGATAGAAACCATGGCTCTCCTCCCCAACTTGATTTTTAAAACCTTCCTTTTTAAAGACCTCTCTGAATAAAATAGGAGTTTCAAGCAGCCATAAATAATTGTTTTAAAGGATAGTTTAAACTTCTGACTTCTCTACATGTTGTGGACATTGTCCACCTATCGACGGGCCACCTGGCAAAGAAAGGTGAAGGCGATTTTAGCCTGCGTTAATAGGATAGCTTTCAAGAGAAGGGAAATAATAGCTCCAATATGTTCAGGCCTCATTTTAAGAAGGATATAAACAATTTGGAGCCAATTCAGAGAAGATTAACAAAGATAACATGCAGAGAACAAAATATGTAAATGAGGAAAGGTTGAAGGACCCAGGTGTGTTCACATTGGTAAATAATAGACTAGGAGTGTCATGAAGATGAATTTCAGAACAAATTTTCAGGAATAGATCAAGCAGAATCATAGAATCATACAACCATTGAGTTGAAAGAGACCTCATGGGCCATCCAGTCCAAGAAGCAGGAAAACCGCATTTAAAGCACCCCTGATAGATGGCCATCCAGCCTCTGCTTGAAAGCCATCCAGCCTCTGCTTAAAAGCCTCCAGAGAAGAAGTCTCCACCACACTTCGGGGTGGAAGGCAGTCATAATCGGGGTTGACTTGACGCGCCTTCCCCCTGGCACGTCTCTCCTTCGCCCTCCATTTGTGCCTCTTCAAATTCTGCAGCACTGCTGGTCACAGCTGACCTCCAGCTGGAGCGCTCAAGGGCCAGGGCTTCCCAGTTCTCAGTGTCTATGCCAGAGTTTTTAAGGTTGGCTTTGAGGCCCTCTTTAAATCTCTTTTCCTGTCCACCAACATTCCGTTTTCCGTTCTGGAATAGAGCAACTGCCCTGGGAGACGGTGGTCGGGCATCCAGACAACATGGCCAGTCAGTGGAGTTGATGGCGGAGGGAATGAAGAAAACCAGACTTGGCTCCCAACCCCAGTCCAAGCAGACTGCAACAGGTTGCTGAAAGAGAATCATCCTTCCTTTTCTAATCTTTCTTTTTCTTTGTGTTCTTTGCTGCTTGTTCAGGTGCAGGACTCTTTTGCAGATGAGTCAAATGAAGCAGAGAAGTCTCTTTCGGAGACCGTTTGCGTTGTCCAGATTGGAGATGGAGACTATATCACAGTTGGTAAGGGATGAGCGGTGGCCCTTCTTGCTTGGTCATCTCCTCTTGAATAATTTTGAAATGTCTGAGCTGTGTGAATTAAAAAAAAACTGGGGAGCCTGGGAGCTTAAGAATGTTGTTGACAGGAGACATTTCCCTACAAGGTTATTTGGTTATTTTCCTTCTCTCTGGATGTTTACGGCAGTGGATATTCTCTTGGCTATATTGACACAACTATTCAGGAGCCCCTGGTGACGCCATGGGTTAAACCCTTGTGCTGGCAGAGCTGAAGACCAACAGGTTGGAGGTTCAAATCCAGGAAGAGCACAGGTGAGCTCCCTCTGTCCGCTCCAGCTCCCTGTGCGGGGACATGAGAGAAGCCTCCCACAAGGATGGTAAAAACATCAAAAACATCCAGGCAACGATCTTGCAGACTGCCAATTGTCTCACACCAGAAGCGACTTGCAGTTTCTCAAGTCGCTCCTGACATGAAAAAAAAAGTTATAGAAAAAATATCAAATATAGTAATCCCTCTACAATTACTAGAACTAGGTCACAGGATCCCCGTAAACCAAATTAGTTCATATTAAAGACCTAGAACCCATATTCAATGAGAATTTTTTTAAAAGACCTTGGGGCAAGCAAGGAGTGCCAGGCCTCCAAGGTTTTGGGCTGTGAGGCCAGCCTGGAAAAGGGGCTTTACCCTGTGCAATGTCTTTCCTCTCTTTTGCAGGCTATGAAACATGGCCAAGTGATAGTAGCACATCTTTTCCTGATTCCTTGCTAAGAAGAGATCCTGCGGGACCAGATCAGGTAGGCAGCAGGATGCCCAGAGGGAGGGGAAGCCAAGTCTCCTTGTCCCTCGAATATTGTCCTGACTCTAAATGAACCTCCTTCTTCTACATTCTTTCCATCCAAGATGTTTTTGTTGGAATTCAACCCCACACTGCCCAAGTTTCAAGTCCTCAGTGAGGAGAAGTTAGCATTAGAGTAGTCTGAGAGCTTCCCTTCCCCATGTCTCTTGTATGACAGTTGGGAATGTCTCTTTTTCTTCTCTCTGCTCTCTTTCTATCACCCTGGTTATTCCACAGATATATAAACTCTTTTTCCTAGTTCCAACAGACCTCACTACCTCTGAGGATGCTTGCCATAGATGCAGGTGAAACATCAGGAGAGAATGCTCTAGAACATGGCCATATAGCCTGAAAAAACCTACAACAACCCTATTATTTATTTATTTATTTATTTATTTATTTATTTATTTATTTTGGGTTAGTTTTCTCTAACAGTTTTCAGTAAATGACTTATTCTATGAAGTCAACCACAAATGACCTGGTTTTCCTTTCCAACCAGAGAGGCATTTCCTCCTCACAGATAACTTTTTTTTGTCTTCAGGTGACCTTTGAAGACGTGTCTGTGGATTTCACGGAGGAGGAGCGGGCCCTGCTGGATCCAAGCCAAAAAGCCTTGCACCAGCAAATCATGGAGGAGAATTTAGAGATTGTGTCATCTCTGGGTAAAGCCCCTTTATGATTGTAGTTAACCCAATCAGTTTACAAGTTCTCAAAATCATCCAGTGTTTCATATCTCTTCCTCTGGAGCCATTGAAAACAAACTCATCCCATTTTCCACATGAAGGGCAGCCCACAATATCTGCTTTGAACTGGAATATATGGCAGTGTGGACTCAGAAACCCAATTCAAAGCAGATATTGTAGGGTTTTCTGCCTTGATATTCTGGGTTATATGGCAGTGTCAGGATGAGATGGTGGATGGGAGGGAAAAGGTGTATTGATTAGACCCTGTTTTGCCTACTCCTGATATAGAGTCCTAGGGCTGGAAGAGCCTCTTAAGGGCCATCCAGTCCAACCTCCTGCCATGCAGGAAGGCATAATCAAAGCACTCCTGATAGACAGCCTATGCAGAAAACCCTGTAGAGTAGGTCTCCACCAGACTCCCAAGCAGCCTATACCACTCTCCACAAAGTTATTCCTAATCTTTCCAGTCAAATCTCTTTCCTGCCATTTGAACCCATTGCTCCCTTGTGCCTTGGTCTCTAGAATAATAAAAAAAATCAGTTTTCCGCCTCCCTCCTCCTCAATGGGACAACCTTTTAAATCTTGAAACATTTTTCTCATGATCTATCTCTACTGTGTCTACTCCCAGCTAAACATTCCCAAGGAGGAAGGGAAAAGAGAAGGAAGGAAGGATGGAAGAGAGGGGAGGGATGGAGGGAGGAAAGAAAGAGAAAAGGAGGGAAAGACAAAGGAGGAGGAGGAAGAGGGAGGGAGGAAGGAAGAGAAAAAGGGTGGAAGGAAAGGAAGGATGAAGGAGAATAAAAGAGGGAAGGAAGAGAAGAATGGAAGGAAGGTGGAAGAGAATGGAGGGAGGGAAGGAAGGAGAAGGAAAGACAGAAAGGAAGGAAGGAAAGGAGGGAGAAAAGGAAGGAGGAGAAGAGAAGAGAAGGAAGGGAAGAGGAAGGAAGGAAGGGAGGAACAGAGGGAGGAAAGAAGAAAGAGGAAAGACAAAAAGGGAAGGAAGGAAGGAGGGAAGGTGAAGGAAGGAAGGGAGAATGAAGGATGGAAGGAAGGGTGGAAGAGAATGGAGGGAGGAAAGGAGAAGGAAAGGAAAGACAAAAGAGAAGGAGGAAGGAGAAAGGAGAGGAAAGAGGGAAGGAAGGAAAAAGGAAGGAAGGATGAAGGAGAAAGAGGGAAGGAAAGGAGGGAGGAAGGAGGAAGGAAGGACAGAAGAAAGGAAGGATAGGGTGGTGAGAGAGAGGAGGGCCTGAGAAACGAGCCCAAGCGGCCGCATCCGTCCCCTGGTCCTGTGTTTGCCCATACCTGACCTAGACTCTGGCTTGTAAACTGAATGTAGAGGTTTGTTCTCCTGCATGATGACATGTAAAGTTTCCTTAACTTTCTGGCATCAGGCAGATCAAGAATTTCTACAGAGGTTCCCACAGACTTGAACTCAAACAAAAATTTTTTCCCCAGCCCTGATGGAGAAATGATTTATTTTGAGTCCCCATCTTGATATCATTTTTGGAGCAAAGACAAAACAGATATCTTCTTTACAAGCCAGGGTGGGAAGCAACTATCTTGACTATATGCAAATATCAGGTTGCACCTTTTTAAGCATTTAAATATAACTTTAATATAATATTTTCTTTTAATCATATGGTCACACTTATCTTGTTCTCAAACCATTTAAATAGAGGAAGAAGAGCTCACTTCTCATCAAGAAATGAACGCAGATGATAAACCATTTAAATGCTTGGAATGTGGAAAGAGCTTCTGGCACAAGAGATACCTTATTCGTCACCAATCAATTCACTCAGGAGAGAAACCATTCAAATGCTCGGAGTGTGAGAAGAGCTTCAGTCAAAAGGCAATTCTTATTCGTCACCAGGCAACTCACACAGGGGAGAAACCATTTATATGCTGGGAGTGTGGAAAGAGCTTCAGCCAGAAGTCAAACCTTCATGTTCATCAGGCAACTCACTCAGGAGAGAAACCATTTATATGCTCCGAGTGTGGGAAGAGCTTCTGCCGAAAGACACACCTTGTCCGTCATCAGGCAACTCACACAGGAGAGAAACCATTTACATGCTCCGAGTGTGGAAAGAGCTTCAGTCGGAAGGCATGCCTCATTCTTCATTATGGAACACACACAGGAGAGAAAGCATACATATGCTCAGAGTGTGGAAAGAGCTTCAGTCAGAAGGCACACCTCATTTTTCATCAGTCAGCTCACACAGGAGAGAAACCATTTAAATGTTCAGAGTGTGGAAAGAGCTTCTGTCGGAAGTCGCACTTCAATCGTCACCAGGCCACTCACACTGGAGAGAAACCATTTACATGCTCGGCGTGTGGAAAGAGCTTCACTCTGAAGGCAGACCTTGTTCGTCATCAGTCAACGCACACAGGAGAGAAACCATTTGTATGCTTGGAATGCGGAAAGAGATTCAGTCAGAGATCACACCTTGTTTTTCATCAGGGAACTCACACGGGAGAGAAACCATACAAATGCTCGGAGTGCGAAAAGGGTTTCCGTCGGAAGGCAGACCTCCTTCATCATCAGTCAACTCACATAGAGTTTCAGTCAGAAAACACACCTTTTTCATTATCAGTCAACTCACACAATGAAGAAACCATTTATATGCTTGGAATGTGGGAAGAGTTGCAGTCAGAAGATAAACCTTCCTAATGATCAAAGTTGTCACTGAAGAATAATTAATTATGATCAATAGATCTTTGTTGTTGTCACCCTGTGAAGAAGCTAGTTAAATGCTTACAGTGTGGGAGAAAAGGCTCAGTTTCCATCACAAGGGTGAGAAAGCACTAAAATGCTTTCAATGTGGGGGACATTTCAATCTTCAAAAAAGAAATCCTACTCCTCATCAGCTAATAATTCACACATGAGAGAAACTGTTTACAGTTACTTGTTTACAGCTTGGAAAAAGCTTTAGTCTCAAGAAATACCTCAAGCGTCGACTTGCACTTAACACACTGAAATGATTCATGTGGGAAGAGCTTCAATCAAGAGATTCATTCCACTTTTCCTCAAGTAACTAATGCAGAGGAACAATTACTTCATTCTTTGGAGTACAGGTAGAGCTGAGAAACACAAGCTTCCTTGATTCACATCAGGCCTCAATCTTGGTGAAAAAGACACTGAGATCAAAACGCTGAACTTTATTGGAATTAATAACTTGATCTCTCTCTGAAAATATTCACCAATTTCCTTTTATTAATTATCTAATAAAGCATAATAGAAAATATGTTGAGCGGTAAAGAATATTTCAGTGTTTTATATCAGTTATATTGGTTACTCTAAATATTTCCTGTCATATTTTCATCGTCTCTCAAACTATGTCAGAAAAATTTCTAGTTTAGTCTGAAGAACATATGTGTTTAGAATTCTAAGTCTGTTTGTATATTATATTAATGTCATATTTTTGCACTGAGTCTGTGTGCTTAGGTTTAAAGCAGTGGTTCACAACCTGTGGTCTGTGGACCACCAGTGGTCCGCAAGAACAAAAATATGGTCCATAGCCTCACAATTACTATGCCGTTGCCTCAAAATCACGTAGCAATGAGAGTGGCTGGTCTCGTGAAACCTTCTTATAGTGCCAAGACAATGGGGATGTCAGGAGGGGAGAGGCTGACTACCCACAAAAGATTGCTACTACCACATCAGCTCAAGATTATGAAATATAGTTTTCTGTGGGTAAGCAGATGGCGACCACTGGATGGCATGTGTTCTGTATCAGAAACTAGAGCTGATGTGGTCTATCCAATGCAATTTTCTGAATCAACACCCCAAATAACCAAATTAAATCTAAAGATGACCAAAAACTGATTTGTAAACTTTTGGTACTAATGTTGCAGAGTGGTCAAGTGCTCCCTGGTTAAAAAAAAAAAGTTTGGGAACCACTGGTTTAAGGGAAAGAAGTAAATTAGATTACCAAACCTGTCCCTAGTTGTCCAACAGAATGATGGACTAATGGAGTCAGATTAACATCCAACAGCAGACCATCTAATAAGTTCGATGCAATCTTGGACTGTTGGAGTTGAAAATTAATTTGGCAATTTTAATACATTCCAATGGGGTGCTTAAGTCATTCCCACTTAGTATTGCTCTTGTCCTTTATCGGTAGGTATTAATTTTAAATGGTATTGAGGAATAATTGGGTGCTTTCAGATGGATTACACATGGATCCCTTCTTAGCATATATACTGTTTGTGTTAGAATTGTATGTGTGTGGTCTATAAAGATAGAGATATAGGGAAAAAAAGAGGAAATTGGATAGAGGCTTAAGTAAGGAAAATGTCAGCATACTTCTCCAAACGCCGAGCAATAATGCTAAATCCAGTTACGTATTCAAAATGTGTGCCTTGGACCGCAAGGAGATCCAACCAGTCCATACTTCAGGAAATAAAGCCCAACTGCTCATCGGAGAGAAGGATATGAGAGGCCAAGATGAAGTCCTTTGGCCACATCATGAGAAGACAGGAAAGCTTAGGGAAGACAATGATGCTGGGGAAAATGGAAGGAAAAAGGAAGAGGGGCCGACCAAGGGCAAGATGGATGGATGGCATCCTTGAAGTGACTGGATTGACCTTGAAGGAGCTGGGGGTGGTGATGGCTGACGGAGCTGTGGCGTGGGCTGGTCCATGAAGTCACGAAGAGTTGGAAACGAACAACAACAATTCAAAATGTGACTGACTTGACTCTGAAGGAGCTGGGGGTGGTGAGGGCCGACAGGGAGCTCTAGCGTAGGCTGGTCCAAGAGGTCACGAAGAGTCAGAAGCAACTGAACAAATAAACAACAACAATTCAAAATGGGATTTGGGAGGATTTCCTTCTGTGTAGAAACGAATCCAAGTATTACGGAGTGGATTTTAGCATTGTATGGAGCCCCCAGTGGCGCAATGAGTTAAAGCGCTGAGTTGCTGAACTTGCTGACCGAAAGGTCGCAGATTCAAATCCGGGGAGCGGCATGAGCTTCCGCTGTTAATCCCTGCTTCTGCCAACCTAGCAGTTTGAAAACATGCAAATGTAAGAAGATCAATAGATACCGCTTTGGAGGGAAGGTAACGGTGCTCCATGCAGTCATGCCAGCCACATGACTTTGGAGGTGTCTACGGACAATGCCGGCTCTTTGGCTTAGAAATGGAGATGGGCACCACCACCCAGAGTCAGACACGACTAGACTTTACCTTTACTTTCTGACTCTGCAGACAAGGGCTCTGCTAGGCCATCATCACCCCCTGGTTGACCTAGGGTTGGAATAATTTGGAAACAACTTGGACGCGTATGAAACAGTCTCACAACCTCTGAGGATGCTTGCCATAGATGCAGGTGAAATGTCAGGAGAGAATGCTCCTAGAATATGGTCATATAGCCCCAAAAACCTACAACAACCCAGTAATTCCAGCCATGAAAGCCTTCGAAAATACCTCAGTCCTTGATTGTTACTCTGCATTATGAACTCACAGAGTTCTTCCTTTTTGTCATCTATTCCTATTGCTTGAGTGTTTTTGTATAATTACAGGTTTGGAAATAAAGTTTTTAAGGATATCCTTTGTCTTGATATATAAACCCAAATTTCCTAGTCTGGAATGACTCATAGAATCAAAGAGTTGGAAGAGACCTCATGGGCCATCATCCAGTCCAACCCCATTCTGCCAAGAAGCAGGAATATTGCATTCAAATCACCCCTGACAGATGGCCATCCAGCCTCTGTTTAAAAGCCTCCAAAGAAGGAGCCTCCACCACACTCCGGGGCAGAGAGTTCCACTGCTGAACGGAATGAGTTTAGGAATCCAAAACTATTCCTGGTAACACATCTCAGTGGCATGCTCAGAAAGAATAATAGAATCCTAGTGTTAGAAGAGACCTGGTGGGCCAACCTGTCCAACCCCATTCAGCCAAGAAGCAGGAAAATCGCATTCAAAGCACTCCCGACAGATGGCCATCCAGCCTCTGCTTAAAAGCCTCCAAAGATGGAGCCTCCACCACACTGCAGGGCAGGGAGTTCCACTGTTGAACAGCTTTCACAGTCATGTTCAGATGGAATCTCCTTTCCTGTAGTTTGAAGGAAGGAAGAAGTGTCCAGGGTTGATCTATCCTGACCTCCTCCTTCCGCTAGAGGGAGCCAGCTATTCCTCGCCCGTCTTCCTAAGGGTTAACACGAACGAGAGGGCGTTCCTAGAGGGCAAAGACAACTAAGCCCCGCCCCTTCCGGCCAGAGGCACAGGGGCTCCTCTGAGTGGTTTGCGAGGGGCGGAACCGGAAGTGGCTTCCCTCTTTTAGTGTCCCGGAAATGGAGGAGTGAGGGAGGAATGGGATGCTTCTTCCTGGACATGGCCTTTTGACTTCTGCGGGGTTAGTCCTGCTTTCCTTCTCCTTCTGTCCCACAACAGCATCCCTGTGAGGCAGAACAAGAGCCCAGGGAAGCTGAGGCCTTGCTTTGGAGACCCCAAGCCTTGCTTTCAGGGCTGATAGGTAGTGCTGGTTTGGAGGGATGTGGCTGATGAGGAGCAGGGCCTCCACTAGGCAGGCTCAGGCAGCAGAGTTTGGGAGGCAGCAGTGGAGGCAGGCCCAAAGAGTCCTTGTCTTGTGGAGGCAGAAGGGGCTCAAGGGATCATTCCACGGATGTATAAATGTCCTTTGACCAGTCTCTGGCCACTTGGAGTGCCTCTGGTGTTGCCGCAAGAAGGTGCATGTGGCAGGGCTCAGGTTGCATTGCAGCAGGTGGTCTCTGGTTTGCTCTTCTCTGCACTCGCATGTCATGGATTCCACTTTGTAGCCCCATTTCTTAAGGTTGGCTCTGCATCTCGTGGTGCCAGAGCGCAGTCTGTTCAGCGCCTTCCAAGTCGCCCAGTCTTCTGTGTGCCCAGGAGGGAGTCTCTCATCTGGTATCACCCACGGATTGAGGTGCTGGGTTTGAGCCTGCCACTTTTGGACTCTCGCTTGCTGAGGTGTTCCAGCGAGTGTCTCTGTAGATCTAAGAAAACTATTTTTTGATTTAAGTCGTTGACGTGCTGGCTGATACCCAAACGGGATGAGCTGGAGATGTCTCTGCCTTGGTCCTTTCACTATTGGCTGCTACTTCCTGGCGGATGTCAGGTGGTGCAATACCGGCTAAGCAATGTAATTTCTCCAGTGGTGTGAGGCGCAGACACCCCGTGATAATGCGGCATGTCTCATTAAGAGCCACATCCACTGTTTTAGTGTGGTGAGATGTATTCCACACTGGGCATGCATACTCAGCAGCAGAGTAGCATAGCGCAAGGGCAGGTGTCTTCACTGTATCTGGTTGTGATCCCCAGGTTGTGCCAGTCAGCTTTCGTATGATATTGTTTCTAGCACCCACTTTTTGCTTGATGTTCAGGCAGTGCTTCTTGTAGGTCAGAGCACGGTCCAGAGTGACTCCCAGGTATTTGGGTGTGCTGCAATTCTCCAGTGGGATTCCTTCCCAGGTAATCCTCGGACCTCGGGAGGTGTTGTCATCTGCAAGGATTTGAAACTGAGGCCTTGCCTTGAATGCTCCTTTCAGGACTGGCAATTAGTGCTAAAGGGGAGGGATGCTGGTGATGAGGGGCTGGGCCAGGAGGTAGAGGAGCAGGGCCTCCACCAGGTAGGCTCAGGCAGCAGAGTTTGGGAGGCAGGCTCAGGGTTCAGGTGCAACTTTCCTATCTGATCACATCTCATACCAGTTGGCCCGAGCATTAAGATCTTTCTGAAAGGCCCGTCTCTCGCTGCCGCCATCCTCTCAAATGTGGCTGGTGGCAGCGAGAGAAAGGGCCTTCTCAGTGGCTGCCCTGACCCTTTGGAACTCCCTCCCCAAGGAAATTAAAACAGCCCCTTCCCTGACATCTTTTTTTTAGAAAAACAGCTTAAGACCTTTCTGTTCAAGAAAGCTTTTAATGAAGAAATTTAATTTGGAATGACAGGAAGGCTAACTTTCAGTGAGTCGAATGAAGTGTATTATTTGAACACATAGATTTCTGCAACAATTGATTTTACAATGTTTATGTTTTATTTTACAGTTGGTTTTATTGTTAGATGAATGGTTGATTTGTATTTTTTTTTAAATGTTATGAGCCACTTTGGGTCCCGTTTAGGGAGAAAAATAGGGCATAAGTAAAGAATTATTATTATTATTATTATAAAAATGCTCAAGTGTGGTGAGGCCCAAAGTTTGGGAATGCAGGGGATTTAGAGGGATACACAAAATAAGAGAAAGAGAGAGAAGGGGTTTGCAGGACTGAACAGTGGGGATGACCCTGACTTCGATCAGTGAGAAGTTTGGGACCCTTTCCTTGAATCCAGAGTTTTGCCCTCGATCCTATTGAGAAACCAGCCATCTATTAGACATTAATGGTCAAACATTTATTCTGTCCCAAAAGCCTAATTATGAGAGTCTCATTATCATCTTTTCTTTTTTCAGGTCCTTTCAGTATGCCCAGTCCTTGCCTTTGGAGACACGCTTCATCCACTTTGAAGACACCTAAGGCGCCTTCTACACTGTCTCTATATCCCAGGATCTGATCCCAGATTATCTCCTTATTTCAAATTATATGACAGTGGAGACTCATATAATCCAGTTCAAAGCAGATAACCTGGGATATAGGGACAGTGTAGAAGGGGCCTGTGAAGCACTGAACCAAGATGGTAGAGCAAGAGTCAGCTGGCCTCCAGTTAGAAACATTTCCTTCTGCTTTTGAGGAAGAGAAAGGAGGAGTATTATGGGAGGATCCTTGGAAGAAAGACTTGAAAAGCAATCTGCTCCATTCAGACCTTCATTGCCAACACTTCCGGTGTTTCCGCTATGAGGAGGCCTTGGGGCCCCGAGAGGCCTGCAGCCGCCTCCACTCTCTCTGCCGCCTGTGGCTGAAGCCCCAGCGACACTCCAAGGCGGAGATGCTGGACCTGGTGATCCTGGAGCAGTTCCTGGCCGTCCTTCCTGCAGAGATGGAGCGCTGGGTCAGGGAATGTGGGGCAGAGACCTGTTCCCAGGCCGTGGCCTTGGCTGAAGGCTTCCTCCTAAGTTGGACAGAAGACAAGAAGGAGGACAAGCCACAGGTGAGAGAGGGAATCACCTTGGTAGTTTCAAAGAGCAAAGAATGTTTATTTTGAAGCAGGTCTGCACAACTTGTGGCTCTCCAGGTGTTTTGGAATTCAGTTCCCAGAATCCCTACCCATTGAAAAAGCTGGCTAGGGCTTCTCAGATTTGGAAGCCCTAATAACTTGAGCAAGAGTCAAGTTATGTGGGCCTATATAAGTGCAAAATTCCAGCTATAGATGGTCCACCCAGCAAAGAAATGTGAAGGTCTGTTTAGCTTGCATTAACAGAAAGATAGTTTCCAAGAGATGAAAAAACATAGTTTCTATGGGTCCAGGTCTCATAGTAATACATTACTATTTTAAGTTTTGTTGTTTTGGGTTTTTTTTGTCGTGTCAGGAGCATCCTGTTGTGAGAGAATTGGCCGTCTGCAAGGACGTTGCCCAGGGGACGCCTGGATGATTTTGATGTTTTATCATCCTTGTGGGAGGCTTCTCTCATGTCCCCACATGAGGAGCTGGAGCTGTTAGAGGGAGCTCATCCGCCTCTCCCCAGATTCGAACTTGTGACCTGTCAGTCTTCAGTCCTGCCGGCACAGGGGTTTAACCCACTGAGCCACTGGGGGCTCAGCTAAGAAGAGTATAAACAATTTGGAGCAAGTTCGGAGATAGTTAACAAGGACTTAACAAAACGTTGAAAGAGCCAGGTGTTTACACTTTAGTCAAGAGTAGACTGGGGGTGACAGAACTGCCCTCCTTGCATCCTTGAAAAGGCTCTCACGGAGGAGAGGAAACCATATGGCTCTCCGTTCCCACAGAAGTACAGCCAAGTCTAGTGACTTGAAGTTAGAGGAAGGTAAACTTTGACCATTAAAAGGACAAACACTACCTGTGAAAGAGATCTAGGAGTCTTAGGCCCTTTCTACACTGCCATATAAAATCCAGATTATCTGATTTGAATTGGATTATATATTATTATTTATTTATTAATAAATAAATTCTTCACCCGAGAGGGGACTCAGGGCGGCTATATAGGATGAACAAAATCAAAATTGGCTCCTCTATGACAGTCTGAGCAATCAGGAACAGGTCACCAAAACACACATGCACCCTCTCTAATCTTTCTTTTTTGTGTGATCTTTGCTGTTCAGGAGCTGGACTCTTTTTCAGATGGCACCAATGAGGTGGAGAAGTCTCTTTTGGACACCATTTGCACTGTCCAGGTTGGAGACCGGGAATTCATCACAGCTGGTAAAGTAAGGGGAGGGTCATTCTTCTTGCTTGATCGCCCCCTCTTGATTGGTTTGTGATAGCAGGGAAGGGGCTCTGTGAGGAGAGGAAGATTTAAAAATGGGATTTGTTTTTGACCCGTGGAGTCTAACCAACATCCTTGACCCTGGATTATAAAGAGCTGGGAATGTTTAGCCTGCAGAAGAGAAGGCTGAGAGAAGACATGTTGGCCATGTATAAATATGTAAAGAGGGAGTCATTGTGAGGAGGGAGCTGGCTTGTTTTCTGCTTCCCTATAGACACAATGAAACAATGGCTTCAAACTACAGGAAAGGAGATTCCACCTGAACATTAGGAAGAACTTCCCTAACTGTGAGAGCTAGGCATGGACAATCCATGGTTCTAAATAGTTCTAAAGTACTTACAAAACTAGAGGGTGTTGGTGCTTTGCCTTTAAAGTGTTGCTAATGTTGATGCTTTGCTTTTAAAGTACAGTGTTCCCCTGCTATTTTGCGGTTCACTAATTGCAGACTCGCTGTTTTGCGGGTTTTTTCTCCACCCCCAGGGAGCCACGAGGGGAGGGAGGAGGAGGGGGAAGAGGAGGGGGAGCGTCGGCGCGGCCCTCTCCAGTGGTGGCTTCATCCTCAGAGAAGGCCAAGCTGAGGCTCTTCCTCTTCCTCCTTTTCATCCTCGGAGGACCCTTGGGTCTCCAAGGAGGAGAAAGAGGAGGGGGGAACCACGGCCCGGCCCTCTTCAGCAGCGGCTTTGTCCTCAGAGAGCCAAGCTGAGGCTCTTCCTCCTCCTCTTCCTCGGAGGACCCTTGGGCCAGCACCTGGCTCCCCCTCCTTGTCCCTACTTTGCAGTTTTTCACTTATTGCAGGTGATCATGGAACATAACCCCTGCGATAAGTAAAGGAACACTGTATTGCTAAAGTTCTGGTGGTAAAAATTTCGGAACTCTAACAAAACTTTCAAATTTTCATTATTATTTCGTTATGACAGAACCAATTAGGAACTGCCATTTAGAATGAACTTTTGAAAGTTTTGTTAGTTTTGAAATTTAGCAATACTTTAGAAGCAAAGCACCAGCGCCCCCTAGTTTTGTAAGTACTTTAGAACTATTTAGAACCATGGATTGCCCATGCCTAGTGAGAGTTGTTCAGCAGTGGAACTCTCTGCCCCATTGTGTAGTAGAAGCAATTCAGGAATATCTGGCTAATCTCAGTGAATCCAAGTATTCAGAGCCAGATGAACTACACCCAGGGGTATTAAAAGAAGTGGAAGATGTAATTTCAGAATTACATCTGGCCCAGCAGACTGGAGGAAAGGAAATGTTGTCCCCATTTTCAAGAAGGGCAGGGTGAAGGACCCAAACAATTACCATCCAATTGCTGAAATAGAACCCTCTCTTCTTGTCTAATCTTTATTTTTCTTTGTGATTTTTGCTGCTTGTTCAGGTGCAGGATTCTTTTGCAGATGAGACCAATGAGGTGGAGGAGTCTCTTTCGGACACCATTTGCGTGGTCCAGATTGGAGATGGAGAATTTTTCACAGTTGGTAAGGGGTGGGCAGGGATCCTTCTTGCTTGGTCATCTCCTCTTAAGTAGACCAGAAATTTCTGAGCTGTGGGAATTGAAAAATAAGTTGGGGAACCTGTGAGCTTAAGAATGCTGCTGACAGGAGACATTTCCCTCCAATACTTATGTGTACTATTTTCCAGAACATTTGATTCTTTTGCTTCCCTCTGGATGCTTTTGGTGGTAGATATGCTCTTGCTTATACTTATTTATTTATCATATCAGGAGTGAACTAAGGGTAAAGTTGTAATGTAACAGAAAGTTTGAAAAACTTGACATGATACTATTGTTTATTTTATTTATTTATTTGCAACATTTATATGCCACCCTTTTCACCCCAAAGAGAACGCAGAGTGGCTTACAAGATATATATCTACACAAATATATACACACATATATACAAACACACAATACATATACACACACTGGGCCACAGCAATGCATGGCAGGGGACGGCTAGTATATACATACAATATATTATATTATTAGCATAGTACAAAATACACCTTATAGAGGAGATTAAGTACACCAAATTGCACAGGTCTCAGGAACCTTTGTGTGTTAAGTGGTTTAGAGTTTGGGGTTTTTATTATTTTTGCAATAATAATAATAACTTTATTTATACCCTGCTACCATCTCCCAAGGGACTCGGTGTGGCTTACATGAGGCCGAGTCCACAAAACATCAATACAAGCAATAACAACTACAATGCAAAGCAAAATACTAATACTAATACAAAGCAATAAAAATAAATCTCGTACACAGTTAGCATAAACATTGAACAGTGGCACAAAACACATTTAAAAACTGTGGCTGGGCCAAATGTAATTAAGTTAAAAAAAATGCTGGGCGTGAACAAGATCGAGGAGGTGGGGCGTTGGGGAAACATACAAGCAGTCCTAAATCAGTATAAAGTGCTTTTGGGGGACATAATGTGAAGGGTTCATTAATCTGGGAAGGCATACTGGAACAACCATGTCTTCAAGCTCCTCCTAAAGACTGCCAGAGTTAGGGTATGCCTGAAAACTTGTGTGTGCATAGGATTAGTAAGAGATATTCATTACCAAAAATGAGGATTAGTAAACATTTTCTTTTATGCTGACTGGACAAAAAGGATAGGTAGAAATTTCACTCCAATGGTTATAGGGGCAGGATCAATATATATCTGACTTATTATATCATTCCCTTCTTGCCATGTGTGATGTCATGTGCTTAAAAGGGAAGTGTGTTTTTTCATGTAGGAGATTTCGTGGACAGCTGGTCAGATGGGGAGAGAATGGAATGCTGGGAGGGTGATTGGCAGCCCTTCAGAAGGGAAGACAGTTGGTGGTCGACAGTTGGTCAAGTGTAGCCGCCATTACAGAGCAAGGACACGGAGGAAGGAGTAAGCGAACGCAGGGCAATGGCAGAGTAGACCAGTAGCTGGCCACCTGGAGTGCCTGTGGCATTGCTATAAGAAGGTCTTCTATTGTGCGTGTGGCAGGATTCAGACTGCATTGTAATAGGTGGTCTGTGGTTTGCTCTTCTCCCCACTYGCATGTTGTGGACTCCACTTTGTAGCCCCATTTCATAAGGTTGGCTCTGCATCTCATGGTGCCAGAGCRGTCTGTTCATCTTCCAAGTCGTCCATTCATCTATGTGCCCAGGGGGGAGTCTCTCATTTGGTATCAGCCATGGATTGAAGTTCCGGATTTAGCCTGCCACTTTTGGACTCTCGCTTGCTGAGATGTTCCTGCAACTGTCTYTGMAGATCTTAGAAAACTATTTCTTGATTTAAGGAGTTTCCATGTTGGCTGATATCCAAACAGAGGAAGGACCAGAGATGTCATTGCCTTGGTTCTTTCATTATTGGCCGCTACTTCCCAGCAGATGTCAGGTGGTGCAATACTGGCTAAACAGTGCAATTTCTCCAGCGGTGTAGGGCATTGACATCCTGTGATAATGTGGCATGGTTCATTAAGAGTCACATCCACTCTTTTAGCGTGGTGAGATGTGTTCCACACTGGGCATGCCCTTGCATATACTAACACAGATATAGAAAGATTATCTAACACAGCCAACACACTAAATTTACTAGGATTAGGTCRCAGGGCTGCCGTAAAACAAAATAGTCCACATTAAGACCTGGAACTCAAAGGAGGGATTTTTTTTTAAAAAAAAWAATTTTTATTGAAATTTCCAAATACAGTGATTATGGGAGGGACAGTTGAAGAGTGAAGGATGTTGGGAGGAGGGAGTGTTGAAAGGGAAGGAACACAAAGGGAAAGGAAAAAAGAAAAAAGAAAGAGAAAAGAATATTTAAAAAATTATAAAATATACAGATAGATTTTTGTGTAGCACAACACCAAACATAACAACAACAAACACATAGTTCTTGTGGGTTTTTTTGGGCTATATGGCCATGTTCTAGAGGCATTTCTCCTGACGTTTCGCCTGCATCTATGGCAAGCATCCTCAGAGACCATATAGCCCGAAAAAACTCACAAGAACTGAGAGATTCCAGCCATGAAAGCCTTCGACAATACATTGAACAAACACATAGTTTGACATATTCTTCTTGATGTTGTTCAATATTGTATATAAAAAGTGGAAATTTTTCCTATACCCCCCTTCTAACCGATGATGTTAATCTCTCTAGATTCTTTTTTTAAATTTGTGTATTTATTTTTAAAAACTAAATTGTTTAATTATTTGCAATATATTTTTCAAACGTTCCCAGTTCATTTGTCTCATTGGGCTCCCTGAATTCTTCCTTACAAAGAATGTTAGTTTGACCATATCTCTTATTTCAATTAATTTATCTATCCATTGTTCTGGTTGAGGGATCTGTTCTGTTTTCCAATATTTTGTGTAAATTATTCGGGCTGCTGTGGAGATGTATGTAAATAAAATGTCCTCATTTCTATCTAGCTTTAGTTCATTGTCTGTTAATCCTAATAGGAAATATTCAGGTTTCAATGGGAACTTTTTCTTAAGGATCTTTTGGGATTCCTTGTGTATTGACCTCCAATATTTAGTGGCTTCTTCACAGGTCCACCACCTATGGCAGAAGCTTCCTGTGTGTACTTTACATTTCCAACAGTTGGTTTGACTATTTTTGCACATTAGCCCAATTTTTTGAGGGGAGATATACCATCTAGTTTCCAGTTTCCAGTCCATACAGCACACAGCATCCAAACTGGTCAGCAACTCAGCAACCCTGCAAGCCGTTCCAGTTTTCTCTCCAGCCCGTTCCGAATCACGGCCCATAACCAATTGTTAGCGTCAGCAGAAGTTTTGCATAAGCTTGGAAGAAAACATGGACTCTGGAGACATTTGGTTACAAAACAGGTTCAATTTTACTTAGAGCAGTTCCAAAACACATCCATTACAGTAAGCGAGCAGACATGAAGTACACAGTATGCAGGACAAAGGAAGTTGAAGTGTAAACAATACTGAAGCTGGTTAGCAGATACCAGACACTTCCTAATTTTCTCACAGCTCAACACAGAGAGTGTCTCAGGGTTACTTTCTCACAGCCTCTAACATAAACATACATCCTAGCAATACAATTTTCTGGCAACCATATTTCTACTGCATGAAATTACATTTAAACACATAACATACATCAACATACACTGACAATATCTTCATCCAGTTCTCTCTTAAATCCAATGAGTAGGTATATTTTAATTTTATCATCCAGGTTTGTTGCCATTCCTGTAATTTATCTGCCTATATGTTTTGCCCATTATTATCAAAAAGGGAGGGATTTTTAAAAGAGGACTATGGGGCAAGGGGAGAGCAAGGCCAGGCTGGAAAAGGGACCGGTCACACCCTCCACAATGTCTCTCCTCTCTTTTACAGGCTATGAAACATGGCCGAGTGATAGTAGCACCACTTTTCATGATTCCTTGCTAAGAAGAAATTCTGTGGGACCAGATCAGGTAGGCGTTGGGATCCCTGGAAAGAGAGGGGAAGCTGAGTCTCCTTGTCCCTTGATTATTTCCCTGACTCTAACTGAACCTCCCTCTTCTACATTCCTTCTGTAATGAAATACCTAATTAAAATGTAAGTTTTAGATATGTTTATTAATGTTGGGAGAATTAATGTTGGGTGAATTAGAACCAGACATCCTGAGGAGTGAGGTTGAAGGGGCCTTCAGAAGCATTGCTAACAACAAGGCAGCAGGAGACGACGGGATCCCAGCTGAACTGTTAAAAATCTTGAAAGATGATTCTGTCAAGGTGATGCATGCCGTATGCCAGCAGATATGGAAATCACAAGAATGGCCATCAGACTGGAAAAAATCAACTTATATTCCCATAACGGGAAATGCTGAAGACTGCTACAGTAGCCCTTATTTCTCATGCCAGTAAGGTAATGCTCGAGATCCTGCAAGGAAGACTCCAGCAAGACACGGAGAGAGAGTTGCCAGATGTACCAGCTGGGTTTAGAAAAGGCAGAGGAACAAGAGACTAAATTGCCAATATCCACTGGATAATGGAAAAAGGCGGGGAGTTTCAGAAAAAACACCTATTTCTGTTTTATTGACTATTTTAAAGCCTTTGACTGTGTGGATCTTAATAAATTGTGGCAAGTTCTTGGTGGTCTGGGGATCCCAAATCACCTTGTCTCTCTCCTGAGGAATCTGTACAAGGACCAAGTAGCAACAGTCAGAACTGACCATGGAACAACAGACTGGTTCAAGATTGGGAAAGGTGTAAGGCAGGGTTGTATACTCTCACCCAACCTATTCAACTTGTATGCAGAACACATCATGAGATGTGCAGGGCTTGATGAATCCAAGGCTGGAGTTAAAATTACTGGAAGAAACATTAACAACCTTAGATATGCAGATGATACCATTTTGATAGCCAAAAGCGAGGCGGAGCTGAGGAGCCTTCTAATCAAGGTGAAAGAAGAAAGTGCAAAAGCTGGGTTCCCTGTCGCGCCTCTGGCTTCTGCACTTCCGGGGTCTGAGGAGGCCAGAGGCACGACAGGGAAGGCCTACCTCCCGTGCCTCTGGCTTCTGCACTTCTGGGGTCTTCAGAGATCAGGGAGGCAGGCTTTCCCCGCCGCACCTCTGTCCACCGTTCTGCCAGGTCTGCAGAGGCCAAGGAGGGCAGAGGGAGTTCCGGCCCACATGCAAACCTTCCAGGCCCATTGTATGTAAATATTTTATACTAGCCATCAGGTGCCACGCATCGCTGTGGCACAGTGTGTGTGTATGTGTTTTCTTTGTGTTTATGTGTGCGTATATATTTGTGTATATGTGTGTTTGCATGTGTGTGTGTGTGTATATATGGTTTTGCACATGTGTTGTAATGTAATTTTTGTTTTTTGGCTTTTGAAGTCTCTTCTGTTGTGTTTTTCAGTGTTATTATGAGTGATGGTCACTCATTGGCCTGACAGGTACATTGTGTCCAAATTTGGTGTCAGTTCACCCAGTGGTTTTTGAGTTATGTTAATCCCACAAACATTACATTTTTATTTATATAGATTAACTTATTATTAATATTTATTTTAAAAGCGCGATACAGCAAGTCAGTGTAAAGCGAACTGCGAAATAGCGAGGGAAAACTGTAAACCTTTTGTAATTTTTAAAGATTGGACTCTGCATGTTTGCCTCCTAACCTCCGAATTCTTTACAGCCACATCACACGGCACTTCATGCTCTGCTCACCAACTTTTGTACTCTGTTTGTTTTTGGATGCTCTGCTTTATTTAAGGGTAGATTTCTCTAACAGTTTTAACTTATTCTATGAGGTCAACCACAAATGATCAGGTTTTCCTTTCCAAACAGTGGCATTTCCTCCTCGTAAATAACATTTTTTTTTGTCTTCAGGTGACCTTTGAAGATGTGTCTGTGGATTTCACAGAGGAGGAGTGGGCCCTCTTGGATCCTGACCAAAGAACCTTGCACCAGCAAGTCATGGAGGAGAATTTAGGGAATGTGTCCTCTCTGGGTAAAGCTCCTTTATGCATATGAAAACCAGCATTTGGAATAGTGTCTGGAAACAAATTGGCTATCAATACAGCTTTGGCAGCAAGGGAGTTCGGTTGCTCTCTCTGCCTAGCCCTGATTAACAGCCTACCTGTATCTCTTTGGACCAGCCAAAGTTTTTGAAAACTCCTCAAAGGCAGCCCCAAGTAGAGCACAGTACTGTTTTTGAAACTGGATGTAACTAAGGCAGGTATTAGATTTAATAATAATAATTTAAAAAAAATATTTCTAGATTGTTTACAGCACAAAAATAGGCACACATTCGATGCCTTACAAAGTAACAAACGTCAGAAATACAGTAATAGACTAAAATAATAAATGTAGCAACAATAATAAATAAGCGTAAAATAATAAATGTAATAACAATAATAAGAGCAAAATAATAAATGTAATCATAATAAACAGAGTAAAATAATAAACGTAATAACAATAATAGAGTAATAAATGTAATCACAATAGAATCATAGAATCAAAGAGTTGGAGGAGACCTCATGGGCCATCCAGTCCATCCCCCTGCCAAGAAGCAGGAATATTGCATTCAAAGCACTCCTGACAGATGGCCATCCAGCCTCTGTTTAAAAGCTTCCAAAGAAGGAGCCTCCACCACACTCCGGGGCAGAGAGTTCCACTGCTGAACGGCTCTCACAGTCAGGAAGTTCTTCCTCATGTTCAGATGGAATCTCCTCTCTTGTAGCTTGAAGCCATTGTTCCGCGTCCTAGTCTCCAGAGAAACAGAAAACAAGCTTCCTCCCTCCTCCCTGTGGCTTCCTCTCACATATTTATACATGGCTATCATATCTCCTCTCAGCCTTCTCTTCTTCAGGCTAAACATGCCCAGCTCCTTAAGCCGCTCCTCATAGGGCTTGTTCTCCAGACCCTTGATCATTTTAGTCGCCCTCCTCTGGACACATTCCAGCTTGTCAATATCTCTCTTGAATTGTGGTGCCCAATAATAATAGAATAAAATAAAAAATGTAATCATAACAGAGTAAAATAATAAATGTAATAATAATAGAGTAAAATGATAAATATAATAATAAAGTAAAACAATAAATGTCATAATAATAAATAGAGTAAAATAATAAATGGAATAAAAATAAATAAGAATAAAATAATGTAATGATAATAATAATAATAATAATAATAATAATAATAATAAAAGAGTATAATAATAATAATAATAACAGAGTAAAATAATAAATAACTTTGACTCAAATATAAGCCAAGTGGGGCTTTTTCAGCCTAAAAAAGGGGCTGAAAGACTCAGCTTATACTTGAGTGTTTACGGCATATTGACTACACAGAACAAAAAAGGGAGGAAACATTCAAATATACTCTAATATTCATCCATTCATCAGTCATGCTTACCATCCTTCATTAAGTTGATGAGCTTCTTGAGAGGAGGCGGCTATTCTAATGGCGTTTCTGTAGGCTACCATGTACAGTGCACTGCAGAATATACAATGTGGGGCGGGGTTAGCCTTGGAAGAAGTGGATTTCTTTATTTCAAAGCTTGCCAGTATTTTAAGTTGGTTCAGGAAAGGTATGTATACTACCTTTGGTCCAGATATATCTAGCTGTGTAGGAGCATTTGTGAAATAGACAAAAGACACATTTTAGCATTTTTATATATGCATGAGTGTGTGTTTCTTCATATGTTCCATACACGGGGAGGAGGAATCAAATAAATGCCAGTCCGTGCTTGTGAAGTTAATGATAGGGAAAATGGAATAATGGAAATGTGCTTTTAAAATAACTAAGGAGCCGAGAGATGGGAGGAATGAATTTTAATCAAAGATGTAAGGAGTAACTTTTACCTTTACTCATGTTTTCCATAGTTCTGATTTAGATATGATTTATTTTGAGGCTTCAACCTTGAAGTATAGTATATTTGGAGCAAAGGCAAATTTTATTTATTTATTATTTATTTACCATATTTATATACTGCCTTTCTCAGCCCGAAGGCAACGCAAGGCGGTTTACAGTCAACACAATTCGATGCCCCCAACATATAAAAACAATTTAAAACATTTAGCATATAATATAAAACCCATACAAAACCAATAAAAACATCAGTCATCAGCGTTTCCTTACTAAAATCATTTTCCAATTGCATCGTCCAGTCATTCTGTAGTTTGTACTGTCAAAGGCTTTTATGGCCGGAATCACTTGCCGTAGATGCAGGCGAAACGTCAGGAGAGAATGCCTCTAGAACATGGCCATACAGCTCGAAAAAACCTACATCAACCCATTCTGTAGTTTGTTTATTATTTATTTATTTACAGTATTTATATTCCGCCCTTCTCACCCCGCAGGGGACTCAAGGCGGATTACAATGTAAATATACATGGCAAACATTCAATGCCATAGACACATAACACAGACAGACAGACAGACAGACGGGCTATTTAACATTCCAGCTTTTCATGAGGGTATTCTGGCCACCGGGGAGCTGTCGCTTCACTGTCCCATTTGCGACACTGAAGTACTTCCTCATTCTTTGCATGCTTGCTGGAGATTTTTATGGCTTTGTAAATTAGTTAAATTAGCCTCCCCACATAAGTGGTACCTACATTTCCTACTTGAGAGATGCAACTGTCTTTCGGTCTGCAAAGGTTGACAGTAAGCTACACAAATTGGTCGGAAGCTCACTCCGAACCGGGCTGGCTTCAAACTCATGACCTTTTGGTCAGTAGTGATCTTAATGCAGCTGAGTCCCAGCCATCTGCACCACAGTATATATTTCTATATTTGCCTGTTACACTGCATTTACAAAACAGATGTTTAATGTATAGACAGTGGTAGAAAGGGTTTTCTAAACTAAATGCATGTGCAATTTGAATACTTTTCAACTGTCTAATATAACCTTTTCTTTTATACACATGGTCACACTTCCCTCGTCCTGAAACCATGTAAACAGAGGCGGCATCATTTAAATGTGCAAAATATGGAAATACTTTCAGTCAGAAGAAAAAACTCGCCTGTCATCAGGCAACTCACACAGGAGAGAAACCATTTATATGCTTGCAGTGTGGAAAGAGCTTCAGTCGGAAGTCAAACCTTGATCGTCATCAGTCAACGCACACAGGGGAGAGACCATTTATGTGCTCAGAGTGTGGAAAGAGCTTTAGTGAGAAGAGGATTCTTAAAAATCATCTAAGCTGTCACATTGAAGAGAAACCATTTAAATGCTCAGAGTGTGGGAAGAGCTTCTGTCAGAAGGCAAACCTTGCTTGTCATCAAGCAATTCACACAGGAGAGAGACAATTTAAATGCTCAGACTGTGGAAAGAGCTTCAGTCAGAAGGCAAACCTTGTCCGTCATCAGGCAACTCACACAGGAGAGAAACCATTTATATGCTCAGACTGTGGAAAGAGCTTCTCTCAGAGGTCACACCTTGTTTTTCATCAGAGAAAACACACAGGAGAAAAATCATTTACGTGCATAGAGTGTGGAAAGAGCTTCTATCGAAAGGCACACCTTGCTGTTCATCAGGTCACTCACACAGGAGAGAAACCATATATGTGTTCAGACTGTGGAAAGAGCTTCGGTCGGAAAGCACAGCTTGTTCGTCATCAATCAACTCACACAGGGGAGAAACCATTTATATGCTCAGAGTGTGGAAAGAGCTTCCGTCAGAAGTCACACCTTGTTGTCCATGAGAGAAGCCACACAGGAGAAAAGCCATTTAAATGCTTGGAGTGTGGAAAGAATTTCTGCCGAAAGGAATACCTTGTTGTTCATCAGGCAGCACACAGAGGAGAGAAACCATTTAAATGCTTGGAGTGTGGAAAGAGCTTCTGTCGAAAAGCACATCTTGCTGTTCATGAGGCAGCGCATAGAGGAGAGAAACCATTTACATGCTTGGAGTGCGGAAAGAGCTTCTCTCGAAAGGCACACCTTGCTGGTCATCGGACAATTCACACAGGATAGAAACCATTTGTATGCTCTGAGTGTGGAAACAGCTCCAGTAAGAATGCTTGTGCTGCAGAAAGAGCTTCATTTGGGAGAATGTAGCAGCCCACACAGGTGGAAAAGTGTCTGAATATGCTGTAGGTACTGGCTTGTTCAGTAGACTCTCCTCTACAGCCTTAAAAGATATCTCTCTTGTCATCTAGCAACTCACACAGGTGAGAAAGTTTGTAAGTTTCTAGATGACCTAGTTATCCGCAAACCAGATCAACAATTGGGTCACACCGTCTACAGAAAACCCACACACACAGATAGATATCTACATAAAAACTCCAACCATCACCCAAGTCAAAAAAGAAGCACCATTAAAGCTTTGGCAGACCGTGCAAAAAGAATCTGCGAAGCCCACCTCCTCCAAGATGAACTGAACCACCTCAACTGGGCTCTACAGGCCAATGGAGACTCCACCTCACGCATCAGGAGAGCTGCAAGACCAAGAACAAGCCACGAGAGTAAAGATGAAGATCCACCCAGAGGAAAAGTGTTCTTGCCATACATCAAGGGAACCACTGACCGCATAGGGAAGCTGATGAGGAAACACAACATACAAACTATCTACAGACCCACCAAGAAAATCCAACAAATGCTACTTTCAGCAAAGGACAAGAGGGATCCTCTCACTTCTGCAGGAGTCTACCGTATACCATGCAGCTGTGGACAAGCCTACATAGGGACCACCAAACGCAGCATTGCCCAAACACGAATCAAGGAACATGAAAGGCACTGCAGACTACTTCAACCAGAGAAGTCAGCCATAGCAGAGCACCTGATGAACCAGCCTGGACACAGCATATTATTTGAGAACACAGAAATGCTGGACAACACCAACAACCACCATGTCAGACTACACAGAGAAGCCATTGAAATCCACAAGCATGTGGACAATTTCAACAGAAAGGAAGAGACCATGAAAATGAACAAAATCTGGCTACCAGTATTAAAAAACTCTAAAATTACAACAGCAAAACAGCAGAGAGGAAACAAACAGGCACATCTTAACACCTCTCAACAAAAGATTTTCCCAGGCTCAGCCAGGCCTTCAAATGCTAATGAAGGTGGTCAGTTGAAACATTCACACCTAGCTCCAGCAGAGAAGAGCTCTTTGCCCACCCCAGCCATTCCACAGATATATAAACCCATTGTCCTAATTCCAACAGACCTCACTACCTCTGAGGATGCTTGCCATAGATGCAGGCGAAACGTCAGGAGAAATGCCTCTAGAACATGGCTCTATAGCCCGAAAAAACCCACAAGAACCATTTGTATGCTCTGAGTGTGGAAACAGCTTCAGTAAGAATGCTTGTGCTGCAGAAAGAGCTTCATTTGGGAGAATGTAGCAGCCCACACAGGTGGAAAAGCGTCTGAATATGGTATGCTGTAGGTACTGGCTTGTTCAATAGACTCTCCTCTACAGTCATAGAAGATATCTCTCTTGTCATCTAGCAACTTACACAGGTGAGAAAGTTTGTAATGGTTTGGAATATGGAAATAAACTTCAATCTGAAGAAATACATCAAAAGTTACATGCAATTGCCAGCCTGAAATGATTAGTGTGGAAAGAGCTTCTATCAAGAGTTTCTGTCATTTCCCATCTCACCAAGTGCCTCGCACGCAGAGTGCAGGTAGAGCTGGAGTAAGTTGAAAGAGAACTCAGAGGGCTTAAATCTTTCTTATAGAGGGACTGTGTTCAAAATACTGACTTTTTAAGGAGTTAATAATCGCCCTTTCTAAAAATATTCACCAATTTTACTTTATGAAATAACGAATTAATTCTCTTATAATGAAAGGTTATTTCAGTTTTTTCTATCCATTTATGCATACTAGTCATTGAAGATATTTCTTGTTATTTATACTCATTGTTAAAAATTCATATTGCTTCTCAAAATATATATAAGATTTTTGGTTTTGGTTTTTTGTTTGGTTGTTTGTTTGTTGTTTTTAGTGTCAGGAGCGACTTGAGAAACTTGCTTCTGGTCGCTTCTGGTGTAAGAGAATTGGTTGTCGGCAAGGACGTTGCCCAGGGAACGCCTGGATGTTTGATGTTTTACCATTCTTGTGGGAGGCCACGGTGGTCCACACTCTTGTTACATCCCGAATAGACTACTGCAATGCACTCAATGTGGGGCTGCCTCTGAAGACTGCCCAGGCCAATTCTCTCACACCAGAAGCGACTTGCAGTTTCTCAAGTCTCTACTGACACCAAAAAAAAAAGTATTCTTCTCTTGGCTCTGCTGCCCCTGGACTAAAATTCTGGACTCTGACCTTATGTCTGTAATCCAGTTCAGGACCCTGTTGTGTCCTGAATCCTTGACTCTGAATTCTGGACTTGGACTTCGATTTTTACACCTGACTATCTGTCTTGACGTTGAGACTCTGACTTCGGTTTGGACTCTAGGACTGTGGTTTGTTATTTTATCAACTCCTGGCATCTGACTATTAGACTGTGATCATGGCTATTGTTTATTTTTGCTCCTTACCTGGCCCTGTAGTCCGTGGCTTGTCTGCATTAGTTGGACTTTTGATCTTGTTCATCATTACCTTGGCCGTGTGTTACAAATCTGTTGTTTTGGCCAGACCTTGAAAAGACTCAATTACTTTTGTTCTCCTGTAAGTAAGCGTGGTCTTGGCTTACTTTTAATCCATATCCTGCCTTCTTCCCAATATAGGATGGAGTGCAACTTGACATATTATCAAATCACAAAAGCAATGTCGCAAAAACAAAATAAACAAATTAACTTACTTACTTAGGCGATCCCTCGTTGTCTGAGTAGGATAGTCTTCCAGGGTCAGTGTCCTGGCGGCGGGTCCGTAGGTGACTGTGGAGCCCTATTCTTGATCTCCATCTTCTTCTGCAGTGAGGACATTGGTTTCCAGGTGGAAGGCGGTCCCGGTCTGGGTTGGCTTGACACACCTTCCTCTTGGCACGTTTCTCTCTTTCGCCCTCCATTCATGCCTCTTCAAATTCTACAGCACTGCTGGTCACAGCTGACCTCCAGCTGGAGCGCTCAAGGGCCAGGGCTTCCCAGTTCTCAGTGTCTATGCCAGTTTTTTTAAGGTTGACTTTGAGCCCACCTTTACATCTCTTTTCCTGCTCACCAACGTTCCGTTTTGCAAGTCACATAATTTACAATAGTGTAGTAAAATGGTGTCTCTTCTATAAAAAGGTAAAATCAATACTTGCTTTTTGAATATTTTAAAAAGATATTTTCAAGCCATTAATGATTGACTTCATGGTGCAGAATTCATGGATACAGAGGGCCAATTCTATAGAGCCAAAGTTGCCATTGACCAATGCAATTAAAACATTAATTTTAAACAATTAAAACACACTTACCATGCAGTATAACAAACAAGGTAGCAATCCATTCTTCTCCCATCAGATTTTTGCCTTATCATGAAAAGAGACCCATTAAACCTCTCTTGGACGTGAGAGACGTTCCGCTTTGTGTTTATAGCAAATAAGCCTAAGAAGTGATGGGACTGAAGGAAAACTCATCCGAGAGTTGCCTTGTCACTTCTGTAATTCTGCGTGCGTACATGGAGCTCTTCATTCTCCTGCTGAAGGGTTCTCACTTTCTTCTCTAGCAATACATTCTGCTCCATCACTGTTTCCAAGTTAAATAGGATTTTTTTTCCAAATGGTGGATGTGTTCATTTTTTTATCTCAATTACAAAATGCCAACTCTCTAGTTCCTGCTCCCAGAACTGGCCGGGATTCCCATGATCCTGGATGTGCTCCTTATAATCTCTGCTCAGGACTGACTCCTCCACTTGTTTCATTTTGTCTTCAAAAGACTTCATCTGGGACCTCAGTTTGTCTATAGTCTCCTGTAAGGATGACTGACTTCTCATAGGATTCTGCCAGAAAACGCGTCTCTTCGTCATGTTTTTTCTCGAGCTCTCCAAGTCTCTCATCCGCTTTTCTTTTCAGCAAATTATACTTCTGCTTAAACTCTAAATTCTTGTCCTTTTCTTCCTGGATTTTAACGCCTTGACGAAGCTTTTTGTCTCAGTCAGGTCAGCTGCATTCAGACGCACCTCCTGTTGTTGTTGCTGGAGTGTTGTGATCTCAGTTGTACGCTTCTCTAGCAGCTCTATTTCACATTTCGCTGCTCCTTTGTGAAAATCGGTTGTGTTGACATTTTCTGCTATCAATTCACAGGGTGCCTGTTTTTTTCATACTGAGTTTTGAATTTTTTTTCTAGTTTTCTTCTCAGTATCCTTCTAACAGGTGGTGGTGCTCCGTCTCCACCCTCCACCTTACCATGTGTTGGTTTAATAAACCTCAGCCTCGATACCGGAAGAGATCTGGAACACAACAAATATGTGATTTGAATTCGGTGTCTCTTTTGTATGTTATGATATTAATTGAATATTTTTGTACTCAGTCTGTGGTGCTTCACTTTAAGGGGAAGAAGTAAATTATTAAGCATTACCAGAGTTGACTTCATTAATCCTCACGTTAAATGTCTTTTTTTGTATGTTATGATATTAAATCAATTTTTTCCACTGAATTTGTGTGCTTAGGTTTAAGGGAAATAAGAACATTATTGAAAATGACCAGAACTGACTCCTATTAATCCCCATGTTAAATCCCCAATACAGTTTGAATGATGATTTGCAGACCAGCTGGTTGTGTGGGAGTTGTAATATTGGGGTCCAAAATTGGGGAATTCTTTCAAATTGGGGAATTACTTTATTCCCACTTAGTATTTCTCCTGTCCTTGAAAGCCACATTCGTCAACATTGATTTTTCCTTCGGATTGACTACAAAAACAGTTATTTTCCAAGGGAGACTGGTAATTTTACAGGTTTGGAAGCTGTCAGAATGGGAAAGCCCTATGAGGAGCGGCTTAAAGAGCTGGGCATGTTTAGGAGAGAAGGCTGAGAGGAAATATGATATTGATAATAATAATATAATATAATGCAATATAATACTAATAACAATACAATATCATAATTATATAATTTCTACTGTATTATAATAATAATATTATGATATTGTGGTATAGTACAATATAGGAGCTCACAGATGGGAGCTCATCTGTCAGCTCCTGCTTCCTATGTGGGGGCATAAAAGAAGCCTCCCACAGGATTGTAAAACATACAGGCATCCCATGGGCAACGGCCAATTCTCTCACACCAGTGTCCAGATCTGTAGCTTTCTGGCAAAGAAATTGCCTCACAAAGTTGGAAGGCTTTAATTCAAAAGCATGCATTAGGGAACGCAACAAAATTCCAACTGACAGTTTTTTTCCCTCACCCTGGCTCCTTCTCTGCATTGCTCCCGTTTCCATGGCATCCTTTTCCCAGATTTCAAATATACACAGGACAGGTCTCAGGCATCGCCTAATTTCCTGGCTTCACACAAAACCAGGAAATAAGGTCATGACAACCAGAAGTGACTTGCA